AGACAGCTAGAATCAACTAGGTGTGTTGTATGTATATACTGGATAATGGTTAGACAGCTAGAATCAACTAGGTGTGTTGTATGTATATACTGGATAATGGCTAGACAGCTAGAATCAACTAGGTGTGTTTTATGTATATACTGGATAATGGCTAGACAGCTAGAATCAACTAGGTGTGTTGTATGTATATACTGGATAATGGCTAGACAGCTAGAATCAACTAGGTGTGTTTTATGTATATACTGGATAATGGCTAGACAGCTAGAATCAACTAGATAATGGCTAGACAGCTATAATCAACTAGATGTGTAGTGTGTGTACTGCATCATGATTATACAGCTAGAATTAGCTTGGTGTGTAGTATGTGTACTGGATAATAGTTAGCAGTGAAAATCAACTTTGTGTGTAGTATGAGTACTGGATAATGGCTAGAGAGCTAGAATCAACATGGTTTATAGTGTGTTTACTTCATAATGACCAGACAGCTAGAATCAACATGGTTTAGAGTGTGTTTACTTCATAATGACCAGACAGCTAGAATCAACTAGGTGTGTTGTATGTATATACTGGATAATGGCTAGACAGCTAGCATCAACTAGATGTGTACATTGTGTGTACTAGATAATGGCTAGACAGCTAGAATCAACTAGATGTGCAGTGTGTGTACTGCATCATGATTATACAGCTAGAATTAGCTTGGTGTGTAGTATGTGTACTGGATAATAGTTAGCAGTGAAAATCAACTTTGTGTATAGTATGAGTATACTGGATAATGGCTAGACAGCCAAAATCAACATGGTTTATAGTGTGTTTACTTCATAATGACCAGACAGCTAGAATCAACTAAGTGTGTACTGGATAATTGTTGAATGGCTAGAATCAACTTTGTGTGAAACAGGTGTATTGATAAAACAATAAAGTTTTGTATGTAGTTGTTAAAATAACTAGAAGCAACTTTAGTATGTGTAGTGAACTTTGAGAGGTTGATTAAAAACATTTTGGTCCATCTAAAAAAATTTAATCCAGGAATCATTAACATGGATTATATGGACACAGTCTGTTTTTGAAACAGATGCTTCTAGCCTATTGAATGCACTAAATTACTCATGATCAATAGCTTTGTTTCATATTTGATTTCTAATAATGATTTTCTAATACCATCAATGTTGCTAAGTTTCCTGTTTGTTTTATAAGTGTTGTGACAGGCTAAAACGTTTGTTTCTTTTTTTGTTGTTGTTAAGCACAAACCTACAAAATGAGCTGCCTGTGCTGTGCCCACCATGGGTATTAGAGCCTGAATTTTTAGTGAACTATTGGGAGGACGGGGGTAAAAACGTACAATTTCATAATATGAATTGTATAAAGCAATTGATTAAATAATTTGAGGATTAAAATGGCCTAGACATTTGTTACTTTATTAGAGGTCCCCCAGTGGCACATCTGCAGATGTACAATGCTAGAGACCGGGTTTTGATACTACTGCTGGGCAGAGCACAGATAGCCCATTGTATAGTTTTGTGCTTAACTTCACACAAACAAACAAGCTTTATTAGAGGACTGGTCATTTTTTTTTTCAGTTTTCAGTTCTTATAGAAACTATTTTATTTATTTACATTTTGAAGTTAAAAAATTTATTATTTAAAGTAAGTGGTAACCTTGTAAAGTTGAATCTATTTATCATTGTTTTACTTGTATCATAACTTAAAAATTACATCAGAATTCGATATATATATATATATATATATATATATATATTTAAAATAATTTTAAAATGTTTTATTAAAAAATTAGCTACCTAGATAACAGAAAGTGACTTTGTATAAAAATTTATCACTTTTTAAATACAATATTGGTGCAGTAACTGAATTTAATGCTTAAAAGTAACTTTTCAAAATTCATTTATTAAAAAAACTATAATATAAATATCATAATTTTACACCTCTTACTAAACCTTTGATGTCTTGGTTTTTCCAACAAGTTATAATTTTCAGAACATTTTATTCTAAAATCTCAAAAAACATAAAACATGTATGGGTCTTTCATTCAATATCTGTATAAAAATGAAAGAAAAAACCTTGATTATAAGTTTTTTTATTCCATATTTTTATTAATATCCATGAAAAGATAATAAAGGAAACTGTTAATATTTTTTGTCAGTAAACTCAATAAAAATTATGTATAAGTTAGCTCAAATTCATGTCATGGTGAAATAATTATTTTTTCTGAATTTTGTAAGAGTTACTTTGAGGTTAATATAAAAAATTAACCCTGCTTTATACACTTTGTTCTTGCTCAAAACAATTAACACAATTATAATTGAATCCTTATTTTATCACAAACCAGACTATCAGTAATGTAACACCCCCATTGGCACAGTGGTATGTCTGCGGACTTACAATACTAGAAACCGGGTTTCAATACCCGTGGAGGGCAGAGCACAGATAGCCCATTATGTACCTTTGTGCTACAAACAGTAATGTATATTTTTATACCAAATAGTTGTATTTTTGTTTATGTTAATATTGAAAACTTCTTATTTAAAATATTTTATTTTTGTTAAAACAGATGTTTCCAAAAAGAGAAAAAGACAAAGAAAGCCTACTATTATTGGCTGGGCATTCAAGAAACAAACAAACAAACCAGACAGCCAGAATATTGAGAGTAATGTTTCCCCATCTTGCTCAATTTTCGATAAGCCACTCTCAACACTGTGTGAGAATGGAAGTCTACCAAAGCCTGTATTGGTGAGTTTCTATAACTACATTTTAAATGCAGTGATGTAAAATGCCTAAACTAGCAGGTTCTTAAGGCTAACAAAAAACGTTTCATCGCTTTTGTTAGGCGAAAGATAGATTTGAATTTCTTAGAATAACTAAAAATATCTTGGGTTATCGAAACTTAGCAACAACGATGCTGTCATGGAAAGTAATATAACTTAGAATCGTTTTACTAGCAATCATAGAAAATATCATAACAAAATGGTCTAAAACTATAATGATTTTTGATAATAGAAATATAATGTTTACACCTTGCAATAATCTCATTTCTGAATCTAAATGTTTCATGATTTATGTCGGGTTTTTAAGATTGATAAAATTATTTTCTTTATGTCTTTACTTGTATAAAAGAGCAAATGACAAAATTTGCAATAGTTAAAGTATATAACTGTGCTGCTATAGTGTCAGATTGTGTATTATAATCAGCAGTTACTTATGTGGGGATCAAACGAAGTCATTTCATTATTTTCTTATAACGGGTTTGCATCCGTTTCATTATGTGAAAGTCGACTCCAACAATTGTAATGTATCACATATATTTTGATAGAGCATTTAAATAATTTTTATGCACATGATTACAACTCAAATACCCTGAGAGCCTCCTGAAGTTAGTAAAAAAATCATTATTCTACTTCCATTGTCATTTCCAAACGGCTTGATATATAGTGATAATATTTGATATATAGCTTCTCTGTAAATAAGCTTTTGAAATATATCAGTATAAACGTATTTGACTGTGTATATCGTTAAGACAAACACTTACTACGCATTTCTATGGTTTATTTTTTGACTGTGCCTCAACTAAAGAGATTATATTTTATTTGACGTTTCATAGGCCATTCTAGCTCAACTTTTCCACCGAGGACCGTTTACCGTTGGAATTTTCCGGCAGTCAGCTAATATTCGATCTTGTCGAGAGTTAAGAAAGAAATTAGAAATAAACCCAGATCTGGAGCTGAAAGACTATTCCGTCGTTGTGCTGGCAGCTGTATTTCGAGTGCGTAATATTTGTATTTAGAGTTAACAACTTTTTCGCGCATAGAATTTTCTTGATTAGTTTAAACTGCATTATTGGTGTGTTTAGTCACAGATTATAATAATAATGTTTAATGGTTTATTAATAATAATGTTTAACGGTTTATTAATAATAATGTTTAACAGTTTTTTCGAACGATTATTTGTTTCTAGGAATTTCTCAGGTCACTTCCCGACTGCTTGCTGTTGTCTGATATATATAATGAATGGCTTGACGCGTCAAGATGTGAAAACGAATGGGATTTAAGAGAGAAAATCACACTGTAAGTTTATTGTGATTTCTTTGTTCCGGATATGTACTCTAACTTAACAAAAGATAACTGATTTATCTGTTTCTTCTCATTCAGTCAGATACTGATTGATTTCCAATTGGAATTGTGTTGGTACAAAAATCAACTAAATTATTTAGTTAAAACAAAGAACTAGTCTGTCACAGTTCAGCAAATGAGTCATGAAACATGGTAGTGGTTAATCAAGTAGGCAATTTTCTGTCGTTCTTGGTAGAAGTTTGTGATAAGTAACTGTTGACATTTATCTGGTTGAAAAAGTGACATTAAGATATAACATGAATACGTTAGTTAATCATAGCAATTTGGTTAGGGCGCTCGACTCGCAATCTGCGGGCCACGGGTTCGAATCCCCGTTCCACCGAACATTCTAGCCCTTCCAGCGAGCGCGTTATAATGTGACGGTCAGTCCCACTATTGGTTGATAAAAGAGTAGCCCAAGAGTTGGCGGTGGGTGGTGATGACTAGCTGCCTTCCCTCTAGTCTTACACTGCTAAATTAGCAGATAGCCCTCGTGTAGCTTTGCGCAAAATCCATAACAAACAAACTTATAATCTGGTCCCTCAGTGGGAGAGCAGTAAGACTGCGGATTTACAACGCTAAAATCAGGGGTTCGATTCCCCTTAGTGGACACAGCAGATAGCACGATGTGGCTTTGCTATAAAAACACACGCTTATAATCTGCGGTTTTTAATGTAAACCTTGAAGTAATAATAGAAAAACGTTGAAACTAGAAGTTAAAAAATCCCTTCGTGTCCAACCTAATTGAAATCAATATCAAATTCTCTAAACGTTAAAACTTGTTACAGAAATAACATTTTGTCCATATTTTTTTTCATTTCAGTATTGTTGGGTACTTTTCTGTTACTGTTAAGCCTAACGTTTAAGAACAAAGTATATTAGTTTTTTATCACTAGTATATCGTAAATCGTAAAACAGGTTAAATAAATACATTCTAAAAACTAGTTTATTGTCTCTTCG